GTTGGAGGGGGGGGGGCAGAGGGTGGGGTGTAGGAAGGAGTTTAAGTAAATCTTAACAGTTGCATTTAAAAACAGCAATTGAGTATATATGTTGATCGATATTTAAAAAAAAAAAAACTGTTTTGCACTGATATTATGGACTTTTCTTGGCTTTAGGTAAGGTTACTAATTTCCATATAGTTTGAGAAGAATAAAATGAACTAAAACAGAGAAGATCTCAATCTTTTTCTTAGCCTGAACTATAGGTTAATAAATTAGAATCTTCTTGCACATGTTTTATTCAGGGAACAGCTTCCCTCCATTCATGACTACAACATCCTTGTGGCATCTACAGCAATGTCTTACATGAAAAAAAAAATCAATACTAGTTTTTAATGTATACAATCATTTTCCTTTAAATTCTATTTTGAAGATAGACTCAAGGTGAGGAGAAAGTGCCATGTGATCAGGCAGTTCTTTGCAGACCCTGGGACATCCAGAGACTGCAGTGTAAGAACTAGCAGTGTCAAGAATATTCTAACATGCTTAAAGTTTCCTACAATTATTACAAGAAAAATTTCCAAGTATAAATGTAAGCAAAATGAACCGTGCACTAACAATGTCAGCATTACATTGCTCCAGTCTGCCCCCCCTTTACACCGCATACGTTTTTTCATACCAATTAACTGTACAGAATTGAAATCCAATCACTCCTCTTACAATATTGTCATTCTGGAAAAGTAAATTATTGTCTGGTGACTTTTTAAAGTTTGTAGTAAAATGGAAAAAGGGATTCAGTTTAAGTATCTGCTGTCCAAGGTATTCAATTAAGTCCCACAGACCACATCTACACATTGCACTTAAGTTATGTTTAACTAGTTAATCATGTCTTAAGTGGTCACTCAGCCACATGTTCAGTATGATAAAAAGTAGAATAAGCTACAAAGTTGTTCCACAAAATGTGTAAAAACTTTGTAGCCACTTCCTATCCTGCCATTAACTGAACGTGTGGCCATGGGCCCCTGTGGCTGGGAGGCCCATAAGCTGATCAGAGTTCTGGGCGGGGGGGAGGATGGGAGGGCTCGTGTGCATCCTTCAGCCTAGGAACTCCCATATGATGCTGGCTGCCAGCTACAGCAGCACATGCCCCCATGGCTGGGAGCTCCATCAGCTGACAAGGCTCCCAGCTGTGGAGGCACCCCTGTGCCCAGGACACCAAAACTGACCCAGTCTCCCAGCCATGTACTTCTAGTCTACTTCTGGGTTTGCTGGGGAGCATGCTACGGACCTCCCCCCATGCTCCTGTGAGACGCTCCATCCACCCCAGCATAGCAGCATTCACAAGCTGCTTGGTACCTCGAGGTATGTAGAAAAAATTTAAACCTGTGTCTGTGTCCGAATAGCCAAATCTTTCAGAATCAAATTTGGTGGTTCCGATTCCATTCGGAGAAATTAAGAGGTCCTCCGATTCAATTCGGATTTGGAGATTTGGCCACCAGATCGGGCCAAATCTCCGCCAAATTGAATCAGGGACTGAAGCTTCACACAGTAAACATCAGTAAAATTAAAGATACTAAAGGTAAATGGAGATTGTTCTAACAAAGCCATGCATTATAAGAGTGAAAGAAACAAACAATTTTTGTACTATAGAAACAGCCACCTGCTCTGTCATGCCAGTATCAATCCAGAAGAGTTGTACTAGTCAGATGACTTTTAAAATAGTTTACCTTGATGTATATTGCTATAACTGAGAAACATTTAGGCTGTTGCTATTTTTTTTTTTTTTTATACAGTCTTAACAGCAGTATGTATAGTACTTTTATTAGCTGTTCGTAAAAAGAGAAAAAATCATTAATAGGCTTAGAAAATAACTGTTTTCATTATATGTGCATGTCATGTAGTGATGTGCATATTTCATATTTATGAGCGCAAAAATTGGTTTCATTAACTAGCATTAGTTCTATGAAAAGTAATATTTAGACAGACTACAAATGAAATCTGTGATATAAAACAAAGACAATATAGAACCAACTCACCTAACCATCCTGATCCAGAATTGGGTATGCAGATGTCTGTCTCAGCACTGGGCAACACAAATCCAACCACAAAAACTTCTACGCCATCAGCCATTAAAGCCATTCCAAGAACAAAGAAGAGGGCCCATTGAAAACGACCATGGCCACATTCTTGTATGATCAGCTCATACTGCTGTGCTAGTTCTTCCTCATCAGCTTTCCTCTCTGTTTCCAGTTCATTACGATCCTTATATTCATCCTGGATGGGCTGCCCTAAGGCCACCATGCCATCCTTTCCCTGGCCCATGTTTGGGATTCCCTGATATTCCCCTTCATAGATTTCATCATCTTCATCATGCCCTTCAGTTGCTTCACTTGACCCTTCATCATCATTGGCTTCTCCACCATAATCTCCTCCATGGGCATAACAGTTATCTTCTTCCTCATCTTGGAATCTATTATATGATTGTTGTGTGTATCCATCCTGAGCTTTATCTACAGCTTTATTCACTTTTTTCACTGCTTGTCTCTTCACCTCCTTGGCAATGTCTTTTGCTCCTTTCACTAATGAAGTCCTATCTTTGTATGAATCTTCCATCTTGTATTAGTGTATGATTGTCGTCCTACTGAAAACAGGCCTGTTAACTTGGAGTATTTACTCTTTGCTAGACATCAATGATGAAGACCTGAGAATACATTCAAGTTCTACAAGGTATCTGCAAAATATAAAAGAAAATAAGTTTATTTACGCAGTTTGGCCCTTCTCAGTTTCTCCCTCACACTGATGCAATTCCAGGTTAATTATTGTCTGGAGGCTTCAGTGTAATAGCTGCATTTTCATTACCATAACAGTGCTTCACAGATGTAAAGATAAGTATATACTCTTCAAACATTATTGGAAAAAGTCTCTTAAAAATCCCAATATCCTTATACATTTACATTATGAAATTTATTGTCTTCCAGTTTCTCAAAAGAAATTACTTTTTAATCCAAAAGAAGAAAAAGCTCTATATATACACAAGTGCTTTAAAGAAAACATGGCTTGATCTCAATTTGTAGAGAACATGTTAGAGATGAACACTGAAACAATGTCATTTTCTAGGAATTTAATTTAGTACTTGTGAAAGGTAAATAGATTAATAGCAATGGACCTGTAATTTTATATACAGCTCTTACCAGTCCGAGCTTTGCTACATGATTTGGTCAATGTGCTTCAGTTCTGACCTGGAGAAAATACTTCCAGCGATGAACTGGTAATTTAGTCTTTACAAAGGCTCAGAGCCTAATTGAAAGCACACTGAAGGCATCTAAAACACTCCCATGTCATCAGCCTTTAGATCAGGGGTCAGCAACATTTTTGGGCAAAGTGCCCAAAACACCTGCAACCTCAGCTTGTAAGATGAAGGCATACCAGCAGCAGACAGCAGGGAAGCTGAGGGGGGCCCAATCCTTGTGGCAGCACAGCCCTGGCCCCCTCCCCACCATTTGCCCCAAGACACATGTGCCAACAAAATGCCTTCATGTGCCATGTCCTGGCACCTGTGCTGGGAGTTACCTACCCCTGCTTTAGATCATGCCAGTTTTAAACTGTTTTTATTTTGAAACATTCAACCAGGGAAATGGGCTGATATTTATCATATATGAAATATTCAGTGGTCAAGCTCAATTACTTGTAGTGACATTTTCAAAAGTAGGGAAGTGACTTTGCAATGCAAGTCCTATTGAAGGAGAAGCCACTTGGATATTTCTGAAAATGCCAGGCTATCATTTGTCTGAATTTGAACTGATAGGCTAGAAATGATTTTTTTAAATTTAATTGCCATTCTCCTTAGTTTCTAGCTCAAACATTTTAAGACATTAACTTGATTAACTTTTCCCCAAGCTTCTCAGGCTTTTGGCTAAGGTTGTGCGCTAATTTTAACTAGAAGGGGACAGTCAAACTAAACTGTTTTGAAGAATTTTTGTTTAAGATATGTATAAGGAGAAAAAAATATTTCTTAAAAACTAGTGTAAATTAAAGAGAACATCTCAAATTGAAAACAAAAGGCTTATTATTAAAATCACTTTTCCTTATCTATCAAAAACATGTTAAATTATTTTTGTCCATTTTAATATTCTTCTTGTTTACTGCTTCCATAAACAAACAGTTCATCCAGTGATTATCTTGCCTCTGAATAATGAAGCAATACCTAGGTTACCAGCACTAATGGAGAATATTTAAAATCAAGTTAAATATTGTCTTTCCTGAAAGCAATTTTTTACTTATGAAAGTCCATTCATCAGAAATAGATATTGCTGTACTTAAAAAAAGAACCAACATAAAAGCCCCAAAACAACCAAACCATAATACTGTACTACAGATTTTTCATAAACAAAGTATGTTTTATATTTAGATTGGAATCTTTAAAAGTGCCCAAATACTGACCAAATAGTCGTGTCTCTAAAGTCAATGGGAGTTTTGCAGCTGAATTCAATGGGAGTAGAGCTGCCATTGTCCCACCCTTAATATATTGTATTGTAAATGTTATCCTTAAAAGTATGTTTCAGACATCCATGTTCAAATTGCTAGAGTTCTTCAGTATAGAAAGAATTATGAAAAGTATTGTGCAAGCTAGAATTTTAAGTAAAAACCAAAACAAAAAAATGCACAAACGCTAAAATCGTACAGTCTGTGTAACCTTAGATCAGTATGTTTTAAAAAGCTAAAAAACAAGTTTTCTTTAACTGTTAAAGAAATTAACATTTTTTCCTTTTCCTTCTCCCTTTTTATTCTCTCAAAATAGGTTAATCTTATATACTTGGAATGTTCCACAAAGCAATCAAAAGCTTTGGCACCATTCAAATGTTCTGTGCAAACCAAAGCAGTCACCAGAACAGAAACAGAACACTTAAAAATAGAATTCAATATTTATGAAGGAAAACCATAGCCTAATTTTAGTCTCATAATGTGCCTCTTAAGTAGGTCATCTTGGCAAATCTACTGAGCCAAGACCACTTCAGAAATTAAACTTCTTCAGTTTTCAACGTGCTTCTCAGAAGATATTTTTGATATAGTCTGAATTCAAAATAGGAAGAAATGTGTATCTGATTCTCTGTGATATACCCCTATGACCATAAGCCTTATAGCACACTCTACTATTTACTGAATACACCCTGCTCTAGATTATTCACTACATTTGCCATAATTCTCATGAGTTTGAGAAGTATTCTTTTAGGGAGTCTGGACTACAAACTGCTCTCAGATTGTCTCAGAAACAAAGTAATCTGTCCATACAAGTTGATCTCTCTCTTTACTTTGCACCTTATAAAGGACACTTTATTTATAGGCCATAGTAAATTGAAACTATAGTCAGGGGGACAAATACCATCATTACAGGGCAGAGTAGAGTCAAATTAAGGAGTACTGATGTTCATAATTTTTCATGGTGCTCATAAATTTAACTTCAGTTTTGAATTTCCTTGATTTTTAAAACATTCTTATACGGTATTTAACTCTTAATGTTATTAGTACTCCCTAACATACTTCACATTAGGCTACATTTGCACTAGAAACACTTTTCCAATATAGGAATTGGTATAATCCTCTAGTGAAGTACATTTAAATGCAAGTACAGCTCTTCTGGCAAAACTGTGCTTTATCTTGGTACAGTAAAGCCACCCCTATGACTTAAACAAGCCTTGTGAAAAAGCCATTTGATTGGTAAGTGTCTGTGGCTTCTGGGAATCCAGTTATTTTGGTCAGGGACCACACCTGTTCATGTCCATGAACAATGCAACTATGCCAGCAAAAGTCTATAGACTAGCTGAGAGTCAAGTTTTTGTCTGGGAAATCAAATGTATTATTTAAGATTTATTTATTTATTTATCTATCTATCTTTCATAAGCTTAAAAGCAGTACATTTTAAAGGACTTTGACACTGTTCATTTTCAGTGAACAGTGAATTAAATAATTGTGTCTTCACACAGTACTACAGTAAGATTCTGGATGAAAGTGTCTTAGATGATAAGTACAGAGTGGCATTATTTAAAGTTTGATGTACATGAAAGATAGATCCCCACCCTTTTAATTATATCAGATTGATTAGGTACTAGTAAGCAACTGGAAAATCTGTAGGAAAGTGCTAGCGATGAGTAATGATTTTCTGAACAGTGCATAGTTCTGTAGCATAAATGAGAATTGCATCATCTAATAGGTCTGCTTATTTCCCCTAGATGAGACCTTCAACTCTTATATTCCTTAGTTCATACATATTATTAAAAAAAGTCAATAAAACAATTTCCCAGGAGCACAATGATCTTACCTAAAACTGAAATAAAAATGGTTCTTCAGCATCACCCAGAAGCAACCTAATATTCAACAGAATCTTCAAAATATGAAATTGTTCGATTTGGCATATGTCACATTACCACTGTGACTGTCATACCTTTTCAGCCTATGACATTTCACAACTTCTTCAGATCACTTAACTGTTAAACTGTCCTTTTTCAAATATATTGGGAGGATGAAGAAAGCACCGGGTAATGTGGGACCCCTGCAGGATACGCTGGGCAATCTGGTGGTTGCGTCAGAGGAGAAAGCGGGCCTCTTTAACCAATTCTTCACCTCCGTTTTCTTGTGCAGGGACCGGGACTTCCCTGCTGTGACAGAAGCCGGACTCGAGGGGATTGCCTTCAGACCTCAGGTTGGGGAGGACCGGGTTAGAGAGCTTCTGGAGGGGCTGGACGCGTTCAAGTCAGCGGGTCCGGATGCTCTCCACCCCAGGGTGTTGAGGGAGCTAGCTGGGGTTATTGCGGGGCCCCTGGCACGGCTCTATGAGCGATCGTGGTGCTTGGGCCAGGTGCCAGATGATTGGAAGGTAGCAAATGTGGTCCCCATCTTCAAGAAGGGGAAGAGGGAGGACCC